AATTATAGATCGCTAAGATCGCTAAGAAATTAGAGAAATGATAGAAATCATAGAAATTAGAGAAAGTTGAGATCTATGATCGACAGGATCATCATTCGCTAATTGTAATTAGCGCAGTACTAATACGTCATAACTAGACTATCACTAACATCGTCGTTGTTATAATTACGATGTGATTATCTGTTGATGCTTTTCTATAGCATTTGATAGGTTACTGATAGGAGAAGGTCGTCGCAATTGTAAATCTATTGGTAGAACTGCTTTTCATCCATATAATAATTCAAATGGCTCAAATTTTATTGTCCCTTGTTGTGCTGTACGATATGCAAAAAGTGCTGAAGTTAAATATGTATCCTATTCTCCATGGTGTTGTTCAGCATACTTTGCTAAAATTGTATATAATATTCTATTAAAACGTTCTGTCAAGCTATTAGTCTGGGGATGATATGACGAAGATAATCTATGTTTGGTTCCAACTATGTATAATAATGCAGTAATCAATTCATTTTGGAACGACGTTGCTCTATTGGTTAATATCTCTTTTGACGTCCCATGTCGATAGATGATTTCATTATACATAAATTGCGCAGTAGTTTGGGCAGTACAATCTGGTGTGGCACTAGCTTCAACCCATTTAGTCAAGTATTCAGTCGCTACAATGATATACCGGTTTCCTTTAGTATACGTGAAAGTGGTCCTACATAATCAATTCCTACACGGTTAAATGGTTGTCCAATAGGTATAGGATGTAGGAGTTTCTTGGGTTTTGGCCTTCCTTATCATTAGCATACATTACATGTTTGTATCCAATTTTCAATAGTTTTGTACATATTTGGCTAATAATATCGAGAGGCAATCTTGTTATATGTAATATCCCTTGCTAAATGTCATCCTAAAGGTTCATTATGGATATTATGTAAAATACGTTCGACTTCATTTGATTTTACTACAAGTAATAGTTGAGCGGATTGTTTGCGATTACGTCTATAAAGTTGTTGGCTTTGTATGAAATAATGTTGTGATTGTTTTTGAATTGCGAGTTGTTGTGAATGAGTAAGATTTGAAGGGTATGTGAGTTGGGTAAGATATTGAAATAATTGATGATAAGTTCCGAATTCCATGTTGTTGAGCTGCTAGTCACACTGCTAACACTTTTGCTTTCACTCTAAAAATTCTAATAATTAATTAATTTACTGTAAAGGAAGTCGAGACAATGCGTCTGCGTTTGAGTGTAATTTTCCTTTTTATATCGAATCTGATAAGGGAATTCCATTATACGAATAATCTATCTCATAAATTTGCAAGGTAGATCTGGTTTATTAAAAGCCATTATAAGGCTGCGTTATCAGTAATCAACTCAAATTGTTGATATAATAGGTAAGATCGAAAGTGTTCCATTCCCCATACAGCAGCAAGACATTCTAATTCCATTGGAGCATAGTTCCGTTTTTCACCACTTATACTTCGGCTAGCATAAGCGATAACATGTTCCTTATTATCATCATCCAATTGTGCTAGTACTGCTCCAAGCCTAATATATGATCTGTCAGTAAATAATAAGAACTTGCGTTTGAAGTCAGGGTATATTAGGACTGATGCAGTAGTTAAATAAACTTTTAAGTGTTTGAATGCTTTTTGTTGTAGTTCCGTCCAGATATAAGATACATCTTTTCACAATAATAAATGTAAAGGTGCAGCTGATGTAGAGAAGTCCTGAATAAATCTCCTGTAATAAGACATAAAGCCTAAGAATCCTCGTAGTTCAGTAATATTCTTTGGAATAGGAAAATTCTTTATTTTGTCAATTTTGGAAGGGTCAGGAGAAATTCCTTGTCCACTAACAATATGTCCCAAGAATGCTGATTCTAACTTAGCAAAATCGCATTATCTTTTTCAAGTTTTAATCCGGCGTCCTTTAATCTTTTAAAAATGCTGTATATGTTCATCGAAAGTAGCTGAGAAAATAATTATATCGTCGAGGTATACAGCTATAAATCGTCCAATTTCTTCCCTAAAGATTTTATTCATCAGACGTTGAAAGGTTGCAGGGCATTTGTTAATTCGAATGGCATGACTTTAAATTCATAAAACCCTTGACTGGTTATAAATACTGTTTTGCTTGATCATTTGGATCTATAGCAATCTGCCAATATTTGCTTGCTAAATCTAACATTGAGAAATACATTGCTTTTCCAAATATATCAAGCAATTCATCAATACGAGGTAAAGGATGTCCGTTCCGTTGTTAGCTGAAGAGCTGGAAATAAAACTTAGACAATATAATTCAGTCCTTCGAATTAATCACAATAACTTTATCACAATTACGCCTATATGAAGACATGGCAAAAGGTAATAGTAAATGAATAACTAATATCTTTATTGAACTCTTGGTTTATTCACAAAACCCTATCTCGAGTTATCTTTCAACTCAAGGGAAAATACATGCTATTTATATAAAATAAACTAATATAATATAATATGATAAATATATCTAATATAATAAATATAGCTAATATGATAAATATAATAAATAAAATAAATCTATCAAATATAACAATTTTAATAAAATTAATAAAGTTAATAAAGTTAACAAATATAATAAATATGATAAATATAGATCATTGATCAAATATGACCAATCTGTCATATTTGTCAACTAAATCAGATGATCACCGCAGTTACAGATCACAGCTTCACCATTGAGTGACACTGTTCAATTTCCTATAATCGATTTAAAATCGAAGTTTCCCATTCTTTTTCCTTACTAGAACAACTGGTGAGGCCCAAGGGCTCTCAGAACGTTGAATCAAATTATGTTCTAACATTCTATCAACTTCCTCTTTAATAAATTCTTGTTCTAAGAAAGCTACTTGATATGCACGCTGTCGTATTGGCATCGGATTTTCTACTGAGATGTGATGATTTTCTATCGGGTATGTTCTAATTGAGATAAGTCATTAGCAAATGCATTTTCATTTTTATCGAGGAATCTGGTGATTTGTAGTTGTTGGTGCTCATTCAGGTGTGAGTATGTATTTACTTGGATTGGTGGCTCATCAGAAATGTTTTGCAATATTTGCCAGTGATCCCATTCCTTTTTACAAAGTTGACAAATATCATCACTTTTATCTAATTTATTACGACACTAACATCGATTTTCTGGTCCTTGCCAATTGAATTTCCACTTAGCCTCTTTAGGTGGTTGAACTTTGAATTTTTGTTTTAGATTTTCAAAGTATTGGGGTGAATACTTTTGTCCTTCTACAGAGATTTGTTTGGGATTACTTTCGGCTAAGGGAGTTAAATCATCTTGGTCTCACAATACTACATAATGTCGTCGTGCCGTTAAATCTTCATCCTCATATTCTTCATTATTATTGACTAATTTATTGGTGATAACTACTGGTTGTTGGAAATAGTCAAATTGTGGTTTTTCCCAACAAGTCATTGATATTTGATGTTCTATATTATTCCAATAAAATGTAAATTTTCGACAGTCCCAATAAAGCTGTCCTCGGCATTTTGAAAGCCAGTCATTTCCTGCTACGATGTAATAATCAGTCGATTCAGTGATATCTACATTGATTGGAATTGCTACTCCATTTAATTGTAAGGGAATATCTGTAACTCATCCTAAAGGTCAAGATCGTCCGCCTTGTATATTAATCATTGTTATTGTAGATGCAGATTCAATTTTTCATCCTAATTGTTGTAAAAATGCTTTAGACATTACACTTCCTGCTGATCCAGAATCTAATATTAAATAAATTGGTTTATTGTTTACTGTGGCGCTACAATAAATGGTTTCAACTGCTTTTGGTAGTTCTAAAGTGTTTATATATTCATTGGTATGCTCACCCTCTAATGGTACCGTCAATAGTTTAAAGACTGCGATGAAGATGGGAAGGCATTACTATTAGTTACTGGTGGCGGTTTTGGTACTAGAAAGGTCATTGATGTTTGAGGAGGAGGCGTGAACATTGAACTATATATCGGTGTGGTTTGAGAAAGTGCAGCACGTTGTCCATTATTAATATTATTATACCCATTTGATATATTCCAATTGGTATTATTTGTACTATTATTTCTATTTGGGCATACTCTTCCCCAATGTCCAAACTGACCGCAGAAAGAATATTGTCCTCTGGATATGTTGTTACAGTTCCTAGCTATATGTCTTCTTTATTAGCAATTATGACAACTAACTCCTACGTTTGAGGTATTGTTTGAAGGATATCAGTTGTTTCCTCTATTATTTTGGTTGTTTTGAAAATTCCTCTGTTGAGTACAGTTTCTAGCAAAATGCCCAGTTTGTTCACAGTTATAGCAACTTGGGGTACTCTGATTATTGTTATTACGATTATTATTATTATTACTATTATTATAACTATTGGTATTATTATTATTTCTCCAGTTATTATTGGTATTTGCAGGGTGAGAAGGTGTAATCTGAGGTCGTGGATTAGTATTAGAGGTGGTCAGAAGTTGTTTAAACTCTTTTAGTAACTTTTCATTATTTTTATCAATGAGTTGTTGCATGTTTGGAGCAGTATTGAAGGTTTCAGAAGTATCATCGTCATTCTGTGTTAAATATGCTTTATTCAGAGAGTAATCTAAAAGGGTATTATCTTTGGATAGTACTGCTTCAATAGACTGTGCTCGATTAATAACTTCTTCTAAGTCACATGATGCAGCGGCAGCGATTGCAATATGAAATTCAGGTCGAAGCCCTTGTAAAAATTGTTCAATTTTCTTATTCTCAGGTGTATTATAATCTGGGTTCAATTTAAGGTATAGTGACTCGATATCAGCAGCATAATCCTCAACTGATTGTTCAGGATGTTGTTTACATTGCCTAAGTGCAGAACGCCATTGCATTCATCGGTGAGTAGTACAATAATGTTTCAAGAAGTGATAGATAAAGGATCGATGCTTATGTTGTCAATCAGTTTGATTATCCTAGTATCTTAAGTTGTTTTCATTTCTGGTTTTATTGTATCAGATAAGAGCTGAGGCCTTTAAAAATAATGGTACTAGAGTGAGACGTTTCCTATCTGAGATGCCATTTGCGTCACTTGCGTTATTATATCTTTCTAACCAATCGCGAGGGTCCTGGTCTCCACCTTTAAAAGAAGGGAGATCCACGAATTTACCTTCATGTTGTCCACCCAATCCAACATTTCTAAAAACAGTGGTCAATCCTTTTATCATTCGAAAGAGGTCAAGTTGACTTTGACTGGTCACATTATTTTCATCAAAAGGATCATTCTCAGATTCATTATTGTTAGAACTATCATGCTCTGATTCAGAGCTAAATGATGAAGACAGACTATCGTAGTAAGAAGGAGAACGATGGCTTCTCCTCTTTTTATCTGACTTTTCTTTTCAGGCTGACTTTGAAAGTGAGGTGACTCTGATTTAGATGAACTAGACTTGTTGGAATTCTTTTGACCAGAAGTTGTTCCTTTATTTTTCGATCTAGACGGAGTCAGTCCAGATTGTCCGGTTCCTGATGAAGATTTGTTAGATTTTCTTGCACCTGAAGGCGGTTGACTAGCTTGTCCTATTCTGGAAGAAGATTATCTAGTCTGCCCAGTTCCAGAAGGAAGTAAGCTAGTTTGTTCAGTCCCAGTGAGAGGTGGGTTATTTTGTCCAGCTCCAGAAGGAGATGGAGTAGTTTGACTCCTATAGTTTCCAAAGCTTCCAATAATCAAAAGTAGATTCATGAAAGTCTACATGTCTATATCCGCTAGGGGTAACTTGTGTTGTAAGAATATCATCTGGTTGATAGCTTTCATTTTCATCTCCAACGTCATCTCCAGAAAGAGAATGGTTATCTTCATTTGTATTTAATAGTTCTAGAGGCCTTGTGACCTAACAGTTTTAGTAGTTGACCCTCTTGGCTGCTTACCCATGGTAGTCGTTAAAAGAACTGGTGAAGGCGAAGGAGGTGTACTCGATGCGGGAGTTTCAAAGTATTCAGAAATAGTGCTTTTAGGATTCTTGTTAAATGCGTTTATCTGATAATACGTTTGTACCGTTAACTTGATAGCTTGGTCGAAGGTATAAGAAGGTAGTTTATTATACACAAAGGAGTATAATACACGTCGATAATAGAGTATTTGTAATTCTAGAGTTGTTGAATTATTAGCTGAATCAAACTTGGTTATAGTTTTGCTAGTGTATTATCGAGCTCCAAGTATAAGACAAGCCCACTTAAGAAAAACACGAAAGGCAAGAGTTTGCTCTGATGGAACGGATGGAGGATAATAAATAATACATGATGCGTCATTCACAAAGGTGATCTTCAGTTGGTTGTTTCGTTCTTTTAATAAATGTTGTGCGTAGTATGTTTGCTGGATTTCAAATAAGTTTTCAAAAGTATTCATTAGTATTCTAATAGGGTATTACTACGCTATTAGGAAAGGAGGGTCCTGTTATCATTGCCAAATGTTAACGTGTAATTCTTGCAAACTACAACTGTTAGACGGGATGTCAGAGTGTTATTTCTTTTTAATTGCACAGTAATCTTAAGGCTTTTACGTTGATTATTACGACTAATTCAAGTATAGGTTTCAAGTTAAGGTTTATACGAGTATTTCATAATTAACAATTCACGAAGTACCGAGTAATTATATTTTCAAGTAAGAGGTTTATTGATAAGAATAGAAATAGAAATAAAGAAAATAAGCGATATGATAAGAAGAAAGAAAAGAAAAGAAAAGAAAAGAAAAATAAAAACTGAAGTATGAAACTAAAATGTAACACAATAGGCCTGTTTACCTCTTAAAAACTACTAAAACTGATTTGTCAAATCCTATTTTTTACATGGTCTAAAAAGCTATCTATTTATATAAAATACAGTATATAGAAGGATATAACTAATATGTCTAATATATCGTATATGTCAAATATGTCCAATATGTCATATATGTCGAATCTATCTAATATATCATATTTGTTGATCATGTCAGATATGTCATATATGTCAGATTTGTCGATTATGTCAGATATGTCATATATTTCAGATTTGTCAATTATGTTATATATATCATATATGTCAGATTTGTCGATTATGTCAGATATGTCATATATGTCAGATTTGTCAATTATGTTATATATGTCATATATGTCAGATTTGTCGATTATGTCAGATATGTCATATATGTCAGATTTGTCAAATTTATCGATCATTTGCATCACATTGGTCCTATCATATTTTATTCGTTCATAGTATTCAATCGAAAGGGAAATCTAGAGAAAAGGTCCTGAAACAATTATCCAAATAATATGAAAACACAAAAAAAAAAAATAAATACTAAATGGAAATGATCGAATTTGATCAAATCAAGAAATTGTCAAAAAAAAATGAAAAATAATTTAAGATAAAATCAAAAAAAAATTTCTTCTGCAGCATGAAATTGTCTAAAAAAAGGTAATCAAAAAAAGAAAACTTATGTAAGGATTATGAGATAATTATGCCCATTTTTTTATAAAGGAATTTTTTCGAAAGATGCTATGCTGGCTTTACGAAATTAAGTTGATTGGTGTTAATAAGATTTCTTTATCTTTTATTGATACTTTTGGAACTTTTTCAAAAAAATAATAGGTTTTTTCTATTTACTGTTTTTGTATTGGCTTTTGCTTTCTTATAACCCTTTTGTGTTCAAATATGCATTAATTGCAAAATATTTTTATGCTCTTGCTTTCTTTTTTGGTTTGTTAATTGTTTTTTGCTTTTGCCATTAAAGTAAAAATTACTGAAAGACTTTTTTCATTGTCAAGAGTTATGGCATTTTTTTGTAGCAATTTTAGCTCAAGAAATTATTTAATCCCGGTCTCTACTATGCCACATTGGGGTGTTCAGTCAACATAGTTTAACAAAACTATTCAAGTCCTATAGTAAATTTTACTATCGAATTTTTTATATTAAACCATGTAGTACAAATAGTTTAAAATTAATTTCATAAGAAGTCTCTCACTAAATCGATGCGTTTTTTATACTTTAATAACATCAAAACCTTCTTCTCATCCCCACTCCAAATTCTGTTAAAGTGTTTTGGACGACTATCTCTTTCATAAAATACCTTGCTTTTTTTAAAAAAAAATAATAAATCCATTTTTACAACAAAAATTGATACCTTCGAGTAGGGTTCCGCAATTCGATTTGATATTTGAATATTTGATTTGAAAATCAAATCAAATACAAATTCAAATTTATAT